TATGTTCTAGTTTGCTGCATGAAAAGCTAGTATAAAACATGATCCATGACGACTCATGTTTTTATTAAACAAAAAAATAGAAAAATATATTTTTATTTTGGCTAGTTCACTTGCGTTAGCCAAAAAGCGTAAATTTGAACCATTTGTGTAGCGGCAAGGTATGAATAGAGCACTTTTGGGGGAGGATAAATCTGCTCTAAATTGAATACTTTACGGATGAACTTAGGCATTTTTCCTTTAAAAATGTGGAAGATAAAGTTTACAGCTTGCCATAAGGGATTCATTTTATAGTCATGTTTGAGACTTTCAACTAAGAGATTCTTTACTCAAGTCTCACAAAAGTATGAATTAGTTTTAGTATTATTGTTATTTAAAAGTTTTTATTTCTCACTATATTCTTTTGTTCTTTTAGCTTAACTTCATAACAATATTATATATATTCAAAGTAGAAAAAGAGATGGAGATATGAATTATATCGAACACGCTGCATTATTCATGAGATTAGTCAAGCAGTTTAATTTTCATGTTATTAAGGATAAGGATGAGGAGTTAGGTGGGAGGTAGAACTTTAAAACCAATCTACCTATTATTAAAAGCGGAAAACGAGAAGAAAACTCTGTTTATAAAAAATATTGATCCTTAATAAGATACAATATTAAAAAATATTCTTTTATCTATTTAATGTGGAGAAAGAGATAGATACGTGATTTATAAGGGAAAAGGATGCGTTGTCCATGAAACATTATGTTCATGGTATTAATGGCAGTAATTGGTGAGGAACAAACGTTATATAGACGAACCAATCGAGCTACTTAACTTACTCCAAGCAAAAATAAAGCACTAGTTAAAAAAACATTGATTACTTAATTATATTAGATTAAGAGGAAAGAAAAAAACAGTCTTATACATTGATTGCTTAATTATTATATCTAAAGAAAAGATAGAAACAGTCATATATTTTCAAGGTGGCAGACAAGATAGATCCGTGGGTTATTTAGAAAACAAGTAGCAATCTATTAGCGAGATTTTTCATGTTCTTAAAGGGAAGCAGTAAATTGGAAGGTATTTCTTTTCCTCAAAGATGAATCAGTTTACATACATATATACCTTACACCAAGAGAAGGGAAAAAAAGAAGAAGGAGAAGGGCACTTCAAAATGTTGATATTATCGAGTACTTCCTTTGTCCCAATTTATGTAACAGGGTATAGAGTACGAGGGTCAAAACACTTGATTTTTTATGTGAATTTAGTATAGATTCTTCATTTTTTTTTAAAGTAACATATTTATAAATTACAGGAACAGTACTACATAGCTAGTGATTCAAAACATTTAAAAAAAATTAGAAAACTATAATCAAAGAAAAACAATAGTATAGCTACAAAAATAATACCTTCCATAAAATGCAATGGAGGGAGTTATAAGATTTAAGTGACATCGTATTATAGGGAGCAAATTAACTCTTGATGAAGATGGCTAAGGTGGAAATGTCGTGAGCAGACAAAGAAAATGCGATGGACAGCGAGATGTAAAAAGCAGTTCTTTTGTCATTACATTTAAATTTCCCAAGTCCCCAAGGCAGTGCCCCGTTCCAAGGAATGGGTCGAGGGGATCTATAAATAATTGACATACTCCGAGAGCGAGTGACACATACTTTCAAAAGGCAAATGGGATGCTCGTTCCCATGGTGAGTATCCTTCTTCTCCTTTTCGTTCCATTGTCATTTGGCTAAGTCCTTTTCTTCCTTCCATAGGTTTACCCATGACCACCGAGCTTCGAGCAGTGGACGAGGACGAGGTCTCGTCCCCATCTGCAAAACCCTCTGCCTCGATACAACCTACCGTCGAGGCTAATACGAAGAAGGAGGAGAACACAAGGAAGAAGAAAATGTCCCCTGACCCCTCGGGCGCTCCCACCGAGGCCAAGAAAAAGAGGATTGTGGTCAGGGTCGAAAGAGTACCGGGAAGAGTACTCGGGCCAGGGTACCTGACCTTGATTCTCTTTATCGGCTCAGGGACTATCCTAAAGATGATGATATGGAGTTTGTCGCCCATGAGTCGGTCGTCGCTACAGAAGAGTGGGCAGCACCGGAGGGAGGAGACCGTAAGGCCGAACTCTCTTCAGTTCAGGAGCCCGAGGAAAAGCCTGTGGCTACTGCCTCTCGAGAAGTTACCCCAGTCGAGAGAAGCTGCCAACATCATTGATGTCTAGGAGTCGCTATCCCACATGAAGCCTCTTTTCAGTGAGGCTCAGGCCGTTACAGAAATGCCGATCGAGGCATCACGGGTAGCGGATAAAGCCCTTAATCCATATTTTAAGGCATGAGCGTTGATAAGTAGGGATTTTAGCCTATTAATTGCTCTCTTTTACTTGTGTTTTGGGCCAAATATGCGTGAGGGTATTCCTGGAAAACTAACTTAGTATGCTTGCTTGCAGGGATTGTTCAAAATGAGCCAAAGGAGCCATAATCAACTCATAAAAGGAGTCAAAACTTAAATAAAAACCAAATCTGGGCCAAGAGGTGTGGAACGCGGACCGCGACAAAAAAGTGCGGCCGCTAAAGTATCAACACGGACGCGGCCATTATTTCGAGGTCCGCGATATGAAGAATCAGAGAGATAATTTTTTGGGAACAAACATGAACGTGGACCGCGACAAGAAGATGCGGCTGCGAAAGTACCAGCACGGCCGCGATGGGAATTCCGCGAACTGCGGTTACTAAGGTTCAGAGAGTGCATAATTCAAGCAAATATGAGAATGGCGGTCCGCGTCAAAATTATGCGGCCGCGAAAGTCTCTCACGCGGATGCAGTGGAAATTGCGCGGTCCGCGAAATAAGGTTCAACCCAGGTCCAGATGTGAAGAAATGCAGACCGCGATCAGAATTACGTGGGTGCGAAAGCAAGTGTGCGGCCGCAGTCAGAATTATGTGGCCGCAAAACTTCCGCAGGGGTATTTTTGTTCAGAGATTTCAGTTTAGTATAAATAGATCATTTTGTCAATTTTAGGTTATGTTATGTTTTTGCTGAGTATGTGAGACGGCTAGGTTTTCCTTTTTGGGCAATTTTGTACAAGATTTACCTTATAACATTAGATTTTCATCTTTTAATTTAGTATTATGTATTATATCTTCTCTTTATCTTTGAATTCTCCTATTATTATGAGTAGTTAGACCCATATCTAGGGTTGTGACTCAACCCTAGTGTGGGTATTTAATGGGTCTTGAATTTTAGGGCTTGAATGTTTATGGGTTAGTGATATTTAGCCTAGTTCTTGCTAGAATTATAGAATTAGTGGTTGCAAACACTGATTCATGCCTTTATGATTTGGTCTCTTCTTGAGAAAGAGGGATTAAGTATGGAAAAACTAGGCTAACAAGGAATTGGGGTGAACTCAAGAAATTGATAGCCCCAATTAAAGGGTTAAACCTAGAGATAATAATACCCGACTTGAGCTAATATCACATGACTTGCATGAATACCCAGTTGGACTTGAGAAAGCCAAATTGGGCAATCACTCAAACTATCGAGAGATATAGAATAGAGTGAGTACTTGGGTGTGATAGCTATATTACGATCCCAAATTAATCAAGCTTGCCCTAGATTTTTACTACCTGTTAGATGTCCACCTAGGCGAAAGTCGCTACCCTAGTACTTTTAAACACTTGTAAACCAACATAAAAAATATTGTACTTAACTTTAATCTTAGCATACAATAGAAATAGAAATAGAAGTAGAATCAACACCTTCATGTTTGGAAGTGCAATTAGGAATAAAACACGCATGTAGACTTAGATATAAACCTAATTCCAAATCAATTAACTCACTGTGGATTCGATCCCGACCTAGCTGGGTAAAACTGCATCGACCATCCTCGCTACTCAATAGTAGTGCAGGCTTGGACCTGATCAAGCGTTGGAGCACTAGAAGACTACTCTGGTTTTGGCCACCTGAAGATTCTGAAAAAAGATGTGTTGCCAGGGTCAAATGGGCCGGATTTGAGCCCAAAGCTTTTGAAGCAATTCCCCGCCCCGAGTGTGGATCCCAACCGCAAGAAGACGACCATGTTTATGGTACGAGCGAATACCAAGATACTATCTGAGCCGGTCGGTGTGGCCAGCTACCTTCGTTCCTTAATAACCGAAGAAGACCAAGTGAAGATGAACGAGGTGGACGCGCCGAGCCTCTTCAATGAGGCGCAGCAGGCGCTAAACAAGGTATATCATTTTTTCCTCCTATATTTAAATAATTCATTTGCCTTAGCGGATTTTAACGATTTTTCCTATTTTTTATGTACTAGGCCTCGGTGATTCACCATGAGAGCTTCCACCGGTCTCGGATGGAGGTGAGTTGCCTTGAGTTTGAGCTCAAGGAGTAGGTCTGGCAAACGGACATGTTCAAAGCGCTTTGTGAGAAAATTGATGAGGTCCTCAGGGACCACTCCGTCCTACAAGCCGAGCTGGAAAGAGCTCAAAAGGAGGCCTCCAGTGTGAAACGAGAACATGCCCTTCTAGTTGAAAAGGTAAGAGTATTTGAGATTAATAATGAGAGGTTAAGCACAAACGCTAATGCCGCAACCTCACAGGTCCAAGAGAAGATAGACTTGATCGACCAGCTTAGGGCCGAGATGAACTAGGTCAAAGCCTCAGCCGCGGAGTTGAGGAGCAAAATGGATCTCTTGGCCTCGGAACGGGATGCCACCAAAGAGGATTAGGCATCAACCAAAGATCAACTTCGGGTGATGAGGGAAAAAGCCTACAATTGCTCTCGACTGAACGAGGAGCTTCGAGCACAATTTGACTCGGCCGTTATAAAACGGGATGTTCTCGACCAAGAATATATCGCTTTGAAGTCCAGATTGGAGGCATCTTCGAATGTGACCTCAGAAGTTCAGGACATGTTGTCCAGTATAAGAATGATGTGGATGTAGTCGAGGCCCGTATAATAACAAAGTCTGAGGATATGAAGTGGTTGTCTTGGAGAGAGACCCTTAAAGAGGTCCATGCCCGGGGAATTGACTTATCGGCCGAGATCGAAGAGGTGAAGATGCTTGAAGCCGAGGACAAAGTGATGTACCAGCCAGATGGTTCGGGCAGTGAGTCGGGCTCCGATGAAGACTAGGCGGGAACTGCCTTAGTTTATTTTTTATTTTCTGTATTTTGAATTTTGGGGCCATTTCACAGTGCCTCTTTAAATATCTTTTGGTACATGTGCATATAAAAGGGATTTTTCTTTAGCTATGCATTGTGTCATTTACTTTTCTATATTTGCTTGTATCTAAGACTTATAATATGCCATTGATGTCTTAGCATAGAATTTGACGTCGTTTAAATTGTTTGTCCCCCTAAAGCTGGGATGAGGTCTAGATTAAGTAATGACTCTGATATAAAACGAAGTCTTTCTTAAAATTTTAACATTTCAATCGGACACAATCATTCTTTTCCGAAGATGGCTCCTTTCATGTCCGTAATTCAAGACCGAGCAACTTGACCTGGTCTGAAGTAGTATTTTTGTGTTATTAAAAATATGTAAGGACCTTACTTTTCAAGTACGGACTCATACGTCTCCGGGCTATTTAAGTTGGTTGTGGCCTTTTGCGTTTGGGACCTGCCTAGTAGACCCTTAGTAAGCTGAATTTTTCGGGCTTATCACCAGGTAGCAGTCCCCGGTTCGGGGAGGCCCATAGGTTTAGTGTTTTGAATCCAACATTTATTCTAAGTAACTTTTGACGATAATATTACTTATGCAAATGTGAATCGATGAAACATAGAAGACAAATTTCTTTCATTATTTTGAATGTTATGTAGATAGTTGATGGTACAAAATTTATCTGTCATGGCGAGAATGAGCTATGTGGGTACGGTTCGTTCGACCGTTTTACCCTTACACTTAGTCCTAATATTCAAGCCTTGGCTTTCAATATCGAATTTAAATGCCTTGTATATTCTCGAACTCAGCACCTTGACTTAGGGTGTGATGGCCCCCTAGTATTAGAGATTGAACTTTTAAGGGCTCGAATACTATTGATCTGATACGGATGGTTCGCAGTCCCCGACCTCCAGCTGTTCTTCAAAACTAGGGTTAAAAACCTTATCGTAAAACCCACTTCGGGAAAAAAATGGCCCAAGGAAAAAAGAGTACAACACGTGCTTTCAGACCTAATCCTTAGATTTGACTTTGACTAAGTACCCGCATGGGTTAGTTCAAAGCGTAATAAAGAAAAAGAAGACTGCATTCATACCTTAGCTGTAGTATCACTTTAAATTTGCCATATTCCAATTGCTGGGTAGTTGTTTTCCATTTCCGGATTCGAGTTAATACGATCCTTTCCCGGTTATATCGGTGACTCTGTACGGTCCTTCACAGTTCGGGTCCAGTTTCCCATCATTCGGGTTCCTGGTATGTAGTGTAACTCTCCTCAGTACCAAGTCTCTGACTTGGAAGTGTTGAAGGTTTTCCCTTCGGTTGTAATATCTCCCCATGTGTTATTTTTGGGCCGCTAACCGGACTAGGGCGGCTTCTCACTTTTCGCCCGCTAAGTCTAAGCTCGTGGCCATGGCCTCGTCATTTGAAGTGTCTGTAGCGTATTGGAACCTTAGGCTCGTTTCTCTTACCTATACCGCAATCAAAGCTTCTGTGCCCTAGACTAGAGAGAACAATGTTTCATCGATGCTAGACTTCGAAGTCGTTCGATATTCCCATAAGATCTCTGGAAAAATTTTCTTTCTATTTCCCCTTTGAGTCGGTTAATCTCTATCGGATTCCGACCTCGAAATAAAAAAGTCAACCCCCCGATCAAACTTCCCAAAAATTCAACTTTCGTCATTTCAAGCCTAATTCCACTACAGACCTCCAAATAACTTTTCGGACACGCTCCTAAGTCCAAAATCATCATACGGAGCTATTGGAATCATAAAAATTCAAATCCGAGATCGTTTACACGTAAGTCGACTTCCGGACGGCTTTTCAAATTTAAGCTTTTCATTGTGAGACTAAGTGTCTCATTTCACTCCAAAATCATTCCGGACCCGAACCAATTACCCCGGCAAGTCATACAATAGCTGTAAAGCATAAATTGAGCAGTAAATGGGGGGAACGAGGCTGTAATACTTAAAACGACCGGCCGAGTCGTTACAGTATTATCATTTCTTAAGTGTAAAACTATCAGTGTTCTGGATTTTTTGTTATAAAATTGATATCAGCTGCAAATAATGCAAGGCTTAGAAGTCAAGCTACTCTTTGGCATTTAAAATGTCTAGACTTTAATTAGTTAAAAGAAACAAATAGCAATGCTACTATGTGCTAACAATACAGAGAGGCATACCAGCAAAATGATATATCTGCTATATAAGTGTGTAGCTAAGTTGTATTTGCAAAATCTTGAAACACCCAATTGAAGTCAAGATTGGTTACTGTACATTCTTCAGCCAAAAGAACAGAAAAGTCGAGATTTTCAAGTCTCGGCATTTTATTTTAAAGTAAATGATGCAATGACCTATGTTTGCACATTAAAACCTGCACAAGGGCAAAGCTTATACTACTTTAGATTGAAAGATGATTGTGCTTTTGTAGAGAGTACTTGTGAGTTTTACCTTTAGCCAAAAAGTTATTTCATAATTGTATTTAATATTTTAACTCGAGTAGTAGATAAAATTATCCTTGAACATATTTCCCAAAGTTCTAATTCATTTTTTTTGTTTGAGTTCATGCAGTCCCTTTCACGTTGTTGTTTAACTTTTGAACCGTATATGATCACACTTGATGAATTTGGGCAAATAGTTAAATCATTGTTAGGGTAAAATTATAAAATATTCTTTAACCAATTATCTTGTTGATCTTTATTGGTTTTTCTGAAGAGAAATTTTTATACTTGTTACAGGTTTTGGAGATTGAAGTTTACAAGTAAAAAAGCTTATTTGGTGGGCATAAAAGTTGACTATCATTTTGCTAGGAATATTGGATAAACTTTGTATAATGTCTAGGGATGTTAGCTACGTTTTTTCTGTGAGTTCTGTCAACAATATTATGATTGCTTAATTAAAGTATACCTGTAAATAACGCCATTAATGGAATGTTAATAAATTTTTGTAAAGCAAAATTTATCTCTATATTATGTTTTT